AACCCTTCGTCGTGTCCATAAATGTCAGGCTGCATTTATGGCGGGGTGACGTTTTCCTCCTCTGCAGCGGGCTTCGGGAGAGGAAGGGTCACCGTCTTCTGGCGGGTTGCGGCCTGCCTATAAGTAGCATGAGGTTGGCTGCCGGAGGAACACCTTTCCCTCCGAGTGTGTCGTGCTGCTTCTTTCCCCATCGTCTTGCCCGTGCCGATCGTCCTTCCTTTCCTTATCGAAGGTCAGTAAGAATGGCGTCCTCTTCTCCCCACTCGTCTTCTTCTTCGTCGAAAGCCGGGGGGACGGCTGCTTCGTCGGGTCCTACATCATCGTCGTCGGACGAGAAGGCGACCAGGGCCATTGAGGCCTTGATGTGGCCCCATGATCATGACTCCACCGTGGACGAGTCAACGCTGAGTCGTCTCCGGGATCGCTATGGTGTCCCGGAGGAGTTTGTCCTTCAAGCCCCTGAGCCTGGCCAACGTGCATACGACCCAATCCCTAGGGGCTTCGCCCTTACATGGCCCGGGACCTGTACTCTCTGCCTTCCGACGCTCTGCTCAGCAAGGCAGCAAAGTCCTTGTTATGGGTAAGTGTCCTTTTGCCCCTGGGTTTGGCTGTTTCTGGAAGGGCTTAATCCTAACTTTGACCTTGTCCTTCCCTCAGGGCAACCACTATGCTGCCGCTTTGATGGACCGCGTTCGAGACGCGGGACAAGTCATCGCCGCCCTGAGCTACCGCAATGTCGAGCTCCGGCGGCAAGCGGACGAGGCCCGGGTCGGGGCCGGCCCCGAGGCAGTGGCCGCGGCTGAGCAGCGTGCCTTGGGCTTGGAGGCCGAGGCGGCGCGGCTGACTTCGGAGCTCCAGGCGTCCACCGAGCGACTCGCGGAGTTGCAGACGCAGCTGAAGGCGTCCGAGGAAAGCAACGCGGAGTCGCAGGCTCACCTGAGGGCAGCAATGGTGGAGTCTCGCTCGGCGAGGTCCGACTCCATCGAGCTGCTTCGGCGTCTGGAGGAGGCGCAAGCCGAGGTGTCGGGGGCTACCGAGGCCTTGGAGGCCGAGATCCGCCAACGGCCGGCAAAGGACAAGAAGCTGGTCGAGGACTATAAGGCTTCCTCGGGCTTTCAGCTAGGCCTTGTCCGGACCGGGCGAGTCTCGTACGAGTACGGATATCGGGTTGCCCTTGCCCGCTTCAAGGCACGCAACCCCGGCTCTGAGGTTGTGGAGGATCCCTTCGGCTCCTTCCCCGAAGACCTGGGCGTCGATATGCCAGCCGATGTTCCTTTTGATGACAGCCCAGACATCCCCGAGGATTGACCTCTTTTGTATTTTTTTTTTTTTTTTTTTTTTTGTAACACCCCCGTTTGCCTTCGAATGAATATGATCTATCTTCTTTCTCAATGGTCTATGACCGGCCGAGTCTTATGGAAAGAACTTTTTGAGATTTTGTGCATTCCAGGTCCTCGGCAGGGGCTGGCCTTCCGTTGTGGCGAGCCGGAATGCGCCGGTTCTGATGACTTCGGTCACCCGATAGGGTCCTTCACAACTGGGGGCTAGCTTGCCTCTTTGTCGGGTCGGGTCGCTGACCTCAGCCCGCCGCAGGACCAGGTCGCCCAATCTGATAGGTCGAGGTCTTACCTTTCGGTTGTAGACCCTCGCGACCGCCCTCTTGTAGGAGAGGGCTCTTACATGTGCGTCTGCACGTCGCTCTTCCAGTAAGTCAAGGGCGGCTCGGAGTCCTTCATCCGAGGTTTCCTCGTTGTAGCCTTTCGTCCTGAGGGTGGCAATGGCTATCTCGGGGGGAAGTACCGCCTCGGTTCCGAATGCGAGGCTGTACGGAGATTCTCCCGTTGCCGTCTTTGGTGTGGTGCACAGCGCCCATAGTACACTCGGGAGCTCGTCAGTCCAGGTCGTCCGAGCCGCGGACACTCTTCTCTTGAGCCCGTCCAGGATGGACCGGTTGGTCACTTCCGTTAGCCCGTTCGTTTGGGGGTGAGCGACCGAACTGTACTTCAGTTGAACTCCCTGGCTTGCGCAGATCTCCCGAAATCTCTGACTGGAGAACTGGGGCCCATTATCCGTAATGATGGTTTTGGGCAGGCCGAAACGGGTGATCAAGTTTTTCCAGACGAACTTCTCTACTTGCTGCGCCGTGATTTTTGCCAGTGGTTCGGCCTCGACCCACTTCGTGAAGTAATCCACGCCGACGATGAGGAATCTCCGTTGTCCTGCGGCTAAGGGAAAGGGCCCGAGGATGTCTAGACCCCATTGCGCAAACGGCCAAGCGCAGTCGATAGGGGCTAGCGGGACTGCCGGGAGCCGAGGTGTGCGGGCGTGCTCTTGGCATGAGATACACCGCTGCACGTGTGTTCTTGCATCCCGGCGCATAGTCGGCCAGTAGTAGCCTTGGCGGAGTATTTTATGCGCTAAGGTCCGCCCACCGATGTGTTCTCCGCAGGCCCCCTCATGTATCTCTGTCAGGACGGCTTGTGCCTCGTCAGGGTCCAAGCATCGCAGGAGGGGGTACGAGAAGGACCGCTTGTAGAGCCGCCCGCCCGCCTCGGTATACCACGCGTGCGTGCGAAGCAGGCGCCGGGCTGTTGCTTTGTCGGGCGGAAGAATTCCGTCCCGTTTGTAGCGCAGCAGTTCTTGTACCCAGGAGGACGTGCTGCCGGTAGTCGCGGTCGCGATTTCAAAGGCACGGTCGGGTAGCTCCTCGACCTCCGGCCCGGCTTCGGGGGCAGGTTTCGAGGCCAGCTTAGCCAGCGCGTCAGCGCGCTCGTTCTCCGCCCTCGGGACATTAGATAATGTAAAATGATGGAACTTCATGGTTAAGTTCCTCACCTGTGCAAGGTATCTTGCCATGGTTGGGTCGCGAGCCTCATATCCTCCACTGAGTTGCTCGGCCACCAGCTGGGAATCTGTGTGGACATGGAGGGAGTCCACCTGCATCTCGAGGGCCAACCTGAGTCCCGCCATGAGTGCTTCGTACTCTGCTTCGTTATTAGTGGCGCGGAACCCGAAGCGGAGGGAACGCTCGAATGATCGCCCGTCGGGGGCTCGGAGCACCAACCCTGCGCCTGCACCCTTTGAGTTGGCCGATCCGTCGACGTGCAGGACCCAGGCCTCGGGAGGTCGTCCGAGGCTCCCGCTCACGTCTTGGGTTAATTTTGCGATGAAGTCGGCGACGGACTGCGCTTTGATGGCCGTCCGGGGCACGTACTGGATGTCATGTTCG